CAGTGTTGGAAGAGGGTAGTGAGGCCTTTTCATGGCTTTGTTTAACTCACGTGGGTCGAGGCACATGAGTTTTCCATCACGCTTTTCTGCGATCACTGGACCATTTACCCATTCAGTGGGCTCTTTTACTTTGGCAATTATGCCGTTTTTTTCCATTCCATCCAACTCCTGTTCAAGTCGCTCACGCAGTGTAAAAGGGATCCTCCGTGGGCGATACACCACAGGCGCTGCGTCTGGGTTGATATGTATATCACATTCTCCTGGAAATTTTCCTATGCCTTTGAACACATCGGCAAACTCATCCATAATGTTTGTGCTCTGCACTGACATGACCAGCTTAACTAGGTCTAGGTCCAGGCATGCCCTCAAACCTAGGATGGAGGTGCTGCTGTTTCCACAATATCAAAGGTCAGTGTTGTGTGGATGTCCTTCCACTTACATTTGAGCTGGCATGTGCCTTTTATGTCCAGTTTTTCTCCTCCATAACCAGACAGTGAGCATGTGGGTGGTGCCAGGCTGACTTGTTTAAAAAGCTTTTTAAATATTCGTGCAGGAATAACATTACCAGTGGCTCCAGTGTCGAGCTTAAAATGCACAATTTGATGCAACGAGCCTATTTCGACATCAGCATAAGCCTGCTCATTAGCTTCCCCTTCATTTAGCTTTGTTATGGAGTCAATAAAAAATTCTCCATCCTCATCAGAAGCATCAGGTTTAATTGCGTACACAGGGTTGTGCCTTTGTGGTGCTTCTGACCTGCAAGCTTTAGCAAAGTGGTTCATTTTGTTACACTTTTTGCATTTCTTTCCTTTTGCAGGGCACTCATCTCTCTGGCTGTGTGTCTGCGCACACCTCCCACATGGCTTTCCCACCTTGTAGCCTGGGGCTGTCCTCCCTTTGTGCTGCATGCTCTGACGCTTTGAGAACACAGCATGTGCAGGCACTGCTCCTTGTGAGCTCGTGTGTGGGTTCCCCATGACTTTTAATTGAGCCTGTGTGATTTCATGTGAGCGTGCAAAGTCTATGGCTTTTTGCAGTGTTAAATCAGACCCTTGGCTCATCAGTTTTTCTCTGATTTGTGGGGAATTTGTTTTAAAAACAATCATGTCTCGAACCATTTCGTCACTGTTCTCATAGCCACATTGATTGACGAGTAGCTTTAACTCTGTCACAAAGTGTTCGAATGACTCCCCTTCCTCTTGGACTCTTTCATAAAACTTATATCTGGCAAAAATGGTGTTCGTCTTTGGCATGAGATGCTGTTCAAACCGTTCAAAATAGGTTTTTAGCTTCATCACTGGTCAACTGCCATGTGTTACAAATATTTCTGCCTCGTTTTCCTACCCACAGGAGAAGATAGCTGCACAGGACGTCTTCCGACTTGTCTTTTAGCGGACCGCTAAACATTAGCTTTGCGTGCTGGACGAAGTCCTGCCAGGCTTCGGGGGGGTTAACTGCATCCCAGTCCATCTGCGGTGCGGGAACTCCGGACGAATCCATTTTGTAATCTCCAGCGGTCGTGCAGTTCGCGATACTCTGACACCATGTAATGTTTTGTATTTGTCTTAATAAAGATAATCAACACGCTTCATGAGCCCGGGTCCGTTTATTGCATGCCCGTAACATGTACACAGAATCCTTACGTCACATCCTGTCTACTATATGGCAAGCCCATGAGGACTATAATTATGACGGTTTACAATACAACATTGTAAATACAACAAGGTCCAAAAACCAAAACCTCAGTCTTCTCTGTGTTCAAAAGGAGAAAATTAAGGGTCATCTAGGTTTTTATGTATTTAAGACATGCTTGTAGTCTAAGTATTATGGTGTTGAATGCTGAGCTGTAGTCAATGAAGAGCGTTCTCATATAGGTGTTTGTTTACCTTATCCAAATGGCTGAGGGAGGTGCTTAAAGCTAGTTGTGCTTTGTTGTGTGTGTTTTATATGTAGATATATGTGATAACTTCTGGTTGCATGAGTTTGTTCTTTGTTAAAACTAAACTGATTTTGTACAAAGTGTTTAATAGATTGTGTATGTAAAATTTACACTCTTAAATATTGAATTTCACTGCGAGGTCTCACCCTGTGTCTCTATGTGGCATGAAAACATCTACTGCAGTAACTATTTTAAGTTATTAGTAGCTTAGAATTCTTTTTTCCTTAATGTTGGTCGATAAGACAGAAATGCCTCACTAAATGCTTCAGGTGACACCGTGAACTTCACTACCGCCACCATTACAGCTATCTTTGTTTGTTTGTCCGAGGTTAGCGCACCCTGTGTTACATTCCCTCCCTTGTGGGTGAAGCAATCTTACCCTTTATGTAAAATATTTGATGATGTTCTTATAGAAACAATTCCTGAATGGTGATTGTAATGAAGGTCTTCATTATTTATTCTGGCATACTTAAAATGTTGAAGATTGAATAGTTTAAATGAAATAATGACAAGGAGAAACATCCATCCATCCATTATCTTTACCTGCTTATTCCATTTTGGGTCACAGGGGTCGCTGGTGCCCATGTCCAGCAATCACTGTGCGAGGGGCGGGGTACACCCTGGACGGGTCGCAAGTCCATCACAGGGCCACATAGAGACAAACAACCATTCACTCTCTCATTCACACATAGGGACAATTTAGTTACCAATCAGCCTAACATGCATGTTTTTGGTCTGTGGGAGGAAACCGGAGCACCCGGAGAAAACCCACGCATGCACGGAGAGAACATGCAAACTCCACCCAGAAAGGCCCCTGGACCGGGGTTTGAACCAAGGACATGCTCGGTGAGAGGCAGCAGCTCTACCAGTTGCTCCACCGTGCTGCCACAAGGAGAAACAGATTGAAATATTTTATTGTTAGTTTGTAGGTGTTCTTGGACAACTCCTCAGCTGGTACTGATGACATGTCCTGTTAACAAAACATACAAATGCATAAAATAAGTATTAGTGTGACTAATCTCTGAAATAGAGTGAAAGATGTTTGAGTATTGTGATAGTGTAAAAGTGACTTACCTCTTCTCTTCCTCTGCAGGGTGTTCAGGCTAAAAGATTCCCCTGGGGCCTGAGCACCTTTTTAAAGGTTCCGGAAGAGACCATTATTGATGATTGGGGGGGGGGGGGGGGGCTGTGCATTTGAGAAGTTTAATTGTATATTTATATGTAGAGAAAATGTGCTTTTAAGAGATGCGTTTAGTGATTGATAATGTTTAAGAAAGTAATTTGACGCTATTTTTTTGTAGAAGTTTGTTAATGTTTATGTATTTTGTTTACCCTGCTTCATGGTAGGTCTGTTAATGGGAGGGGGCAGTAGACTATAAAAGACTGCCTATTAGCAACAATTTTTTTGGCTACTGCTGAGACACTAGGTGACCTGTGAAGCTGGGTCCTCTGTTCAATGTTGGTGAATAAACACCCAGTGGGCCTGCACCTTTTCTCTGCCTCAAGTCTCCTGCTTTATCTAGCCACTAAGGGCCAATCTAACAAGTGGTGTCAGAAGCTGGGGCCGGATTCACAAAGTGGAGTTGAGGATGATAAAAGAAATAGAAAAGAAAAAGCATGTCCAGCATGTGGAGCTTCATGATGGAGCAAAGTCAACTGATGACCAGGAGGGTGTGGCATCCAGCAACCCTGAGGAGGAGATTGAAGAACTGGCAGAGTTGGTTAAATCACTCATTCAGTCTCAAGCAGCAAGAGATCAACAGATGGACAAAGATGCCTCCTGTCAAGAGTACAGATGGAAGTGTATGCAGCACCAGTTTCACCAAATACAGCTACAAGTTAATGAAAGGAAACAAGACTCTAGAGGTGAGCAGCAAGAGCCTGGAGAGGTGCAGCCTCTAGATGACACTGATGATCCAGGTGAGGGTGTGAGTCAACAACCAACCATATTTGTCGGACCTGAGAGGGATTTCAGCATACACAGAGAACCTAAGCTGCATCCTCTTTCATCTAATGATGACACTGAACATTTCTTGACCACTTTTGAAAGAATGGCCCAAGTCTGTCGATGGCCAAGGGATGAATGGGCTGTACATCTCATTCCCCTATTTACTGGTAAGGCACCAAGTGCGTATGTATTAATGGATATTGCAGACTCAGAAGATTATGAAAAAGTGAAGGTGGCCATATTGCAAAAGTATGAGATTACAGCTGAAACCTATCGTCGATGTTTCCGTTCTCTGGACGTTTTTCCTGGGGAGACTCCACAAGAGCTTTATGCGTGCCTCAAGGACATGTTTTCCAAGTGGGTTAAACCAGACATAAACCAGACCAGATACTGAAAGCAAAGGTTCACATACTTTTACCACTCACAAATATTTATTGGATCATTTTCCTCAGTAAATAAATGACCAAGACCAAGTATAATACTTTTGTCTCATTTGTTTAACTGGGTTCTCATCTACTTTTAGGACTTGTGTGAAAATTTGATGATGTTTTAGGTCATATTTATGCAGAAATATAGAAAATTATAAAGGCTTCACAAACTTCTAGTACCACTCACTGAAATCATCCATTATCTTTACCCGTTTCTTCCTTTTCGTGTTGTAGGGGTGACTGGTGCCGATGTCCAGCTATCACTGTGCGAAAGGTGGGAGACACTCAGGACAGGTCTCCAGTCCATCACAAGGACACAAAGAAACAAACGAGACAAACAACTATTCACTCCCTCACAAGGACAATTTAGAGTTACCAATCAGCCTAACATTCATTCAAACTTTATTTATACAGGTTAGTCTCATTAAGCCTCGAGGACTCATTTACAAGAGACCTGATTTAAACAAAGAATGATGACAAAAGTAGACAAAAATGACAACAGTAAACAATCATAAAAAATCATAAATTGAAAAATGGAAGAAAATGATATTAAAAAACAAAACAAAAACAGCTATAGTGTAAAGCAATCTAAAATACTAACTTTGGTCTTTGAGAGGAAACTAGAGTACCCGGAGAAAACCCACAAAAGAACATGCAAACTGCACCCAGAAAGGCCTCCGGCTGGGATCAGAACTGGGGCGACGTGCTGCGTGGCCAAACCCTTTGACCAAATAAAGTTCAGGTTTTATTTTCTCTTGTACTTTGTGCTGACTTTCATAAGTTTCTGCTCATGTTTGGAAAGTCACAAAGATCTTGGTGGAGTCATCCACTTCATCCGAAGAGCGCAGGGTCAGTTTCATCAAGCAGGAAGGATCCTCGATGGGCTCAAATGCTAGAAAATGCCCTTTATACACGGTGGACTCAAATGTATACATGTTACTGGAGATTTTCTTCCAGTAGAACAAGGCCTTGTGTCCCGTGTCATTAATCTTCTTGAGATGAGCAATATCCTGGGGACAGACAGACAGGTTGCTATCATTGTTTTTATTATCACAAAATACTGAAAGTACTTGTCACAATGTGATGTTTATAGAAGTTAAAAACTGAGAAATTTGATGACCCTTCCACTGACACCCTTCTGGATATGGCATCATTAGTTGATCCCAGATTTAAAACAACATACATTACCACAGAGAAGTTGGAGAAAATTAAGAACAGAGCCATAAAGATGTCATGCTGTCTAATCAAGGTGCTCCAGGTTTGCCTGCTTCACAGCCCAGTGAAATGGAAGTGGTATCAGAGCCAGATGCACCAAAAAAAAAAAAAACACTTGGAAGTTTCTTTAAAAAGGCCAAAACATCCTCTTCCAAAACTTTGTCATCACTTAGACAATTAATGGACGCAGAACTTTCTGCCTACTTGCAGTCTGTGAATGCCGACAGTGAATCTGATCCACTGCTGTGGTGGAAAGGCCATGAAGAAATATTCCCAAATGTGAAACAGCTGGCAAAAAAAGTATCTGGGTGTACATACTACTAGCTCCCCATCAGAAAGGGTATTTAGTACTAGTGGAAATGTGGTGACATGTCACCGGGCCTCCCTCAAACCTGAAGCTGTTGACAGGCTTGTGTTTTTGGCACAGAATCTCAAAAAAACAATGAACCTTTTGCATCGATGAGACCTATTCAGGGGTTTTAATGTCACCATTTGAAAATAAGCTTCTTTTATTTCAACTTAGCATCATTTCCTTTTTTTACGTGTGTTTAAAATCTAGCACACAAAGAGTAATTATTATTTAAATTATTTTGAGATGCTCTAACGCCTGTGATAAAACTGTTCTTGTACAGGGATTGTGCAGATATTGCCTGAACTTGGCACCGTTTACCAGTTTAGCACTTTTTGTGTTTTGTTGTTCAAAATTTTCAGCATATGTAAATTGTTTAGAGAAGCTCTGATACCTGTGGCTGTTCTGGGTGAGTTGATTATATAGTCACTATTTAAACTTTTATTTTTGTAATCTGGACTCATCAGGTTTTTTGATTTTACAATTTTTATGCAAAAAGCACTAACAAGCACCTTTTTTTTCCAGACAGCTGATTTATTTTTCATTGTGGATTTGTGCTTGGTGTACTTTTTTTGCTTGTTTATCTTGTTTATTAAAGGTATAGTGTTGACAACAGTAAGAGACGGTGGTACTAATTTCATTACTGAAGAAGATGATTTGTGTGCAACTGATGGTTACAATAAAACATTTTAAACTTATTCTGATTTTATATTCAATTTAAAAAAAACATCAATGGTCTGTTTGATAGAGTACACCAGTGCAATTTTAAATACTAGTTTAAAGTAAGACTGGAGATTATTTATTAATATCGTGATATATATCGTGTATCGTGATATAGCAAAATAATATCGGGATATTAGATTTTCCTCATATCGCCCAGCCCTAGTCCATTTACCATTTAATTAAATTTAAATGAAAAATAACACACACATTCTCTATCACTGTCAATCAGCTAACAACCAGCAGCATCAGGCCAGCTACTGGAGAGACTGACGTTAGGTTTTCTCACTTGGAAACAGAACAAATGTAGGATATTGTAGAGACTTACTTGCCAACAAGTTATGAGTTGGGAGTGAAACAGTGCTGAGCTCCCTTGACTCCCACATGTTTATATTCATCTCCGTGGTTCTCCCGTGCCATGTCATCACTTTTGCAAAGCTGCATGTTGCGAAATTTTTATCTTTGTGAAGCATTAAGTGATCCCACACTTATAAGGACTTGGGTCGAACTGTTTTCTCGGCATCGGTCATGTGTAAAATTTACTTAATGTCCTTTGAAAACACCACCCCTGCTCTGCTTCCGCCTTCCCCCTCGCTCTGTTCAACTCGTGCTACAGTTTTTTTTTTTTAATTTATTCAGTCAGCCAGCATTGACTATGCTCTGCAGGTGAACAGTACGGCTCCGCAACATGGAGACGCATAATTGCGCGACACAACAAATCAATAATGAAATTCGTTGCCAACACTTAATAATCGATTTTATCGATTCGTTGTTGCAGTCCTACTGTGGACCATGCCATCTTATGTCATAAGCTCTCTGATATTGGTTTCTCAGATCACACTACTGGTTGGTTCTCTAATTATCTCACAGATCGCAGGCAATGTGTTCAACATAATGGTACTTCTTCCAGTTATCTAACAGTTAACATCTGTGTACCACAAGGTTCAGTCTTAGGACCCACCCACTTCACAATCTACATAAGTAATGTAGGTCAGATTATTCCTGATGCTGTGAGATGACTTCTGTTGTGATTTGGCGCTATATAAATAAACTGAATTGAACTGATGCAATCTTACATTTCTATGCTGATGACACAGTTGTTTATTGTCAAGCTAGAACAGTTGCTAAGGTTCTCCAGCTTTTACAGCCTGCTTTTGACATCATCCAGTCAAATTTATTCCGCTCAAACTTGTGCCAAATGTTGGCAAAACCAAAGGAATGTTATTTTCAAACAGGAAGTCGATTTCAGCAGTCCTTCCTTCTATTTTATCTTCATATGGTGTTCCTATTGAGTTTGTAGATTCTTATAAATACTTAGGTATCTTGGTCAATCCGCATCTCTATTTTAAACCCCATGTCGAAAACTTGGTAAAGAAACTGAAATTAAAACTGGGTTTCTTTTTCAGAAATAGATCCTGTCTAACTCTGAACACTAGGAAACACCTTGTAACTGCGACTTTCCTTTCTTCCACTGACTATGGTGACATTATTTACATATTATGAATGCTCCTGCAAGCAATTTGCAGATATTGGATGCTGTCTATCACGGGGTGCTAAAATTCATAACTGGCTGTAACTACCGTACCCATCACTGCACCCTGTGATGACCAGTGAACCAGTGAATACTGGTTAACAGGTCATTAACTTCATGTTGACTCTCTCACTGGTACATTTTCATCTTTAAATAATTTCTTGGTCTGTTGCCTTCATACATCTCCTCCTACATGTCACTACATGCTGTGGCTAAGTGGTTTGAGCAGTCGTCCTCCAATGCAAGAGTTGGGGGATTGAATCCACCAGCAGTCACATGTCGAAGTGTCTCAGGGCAAGACACTGAACCCCTCGATGACTCCGATGTGTGTCCCATCGGTGTATGAATGTGATCTCAAAGTACTGATTAGTCTCTTTAGAATTATTTGTTCAATTAGCTTTGTAGAGATCTAGTAGGGTGATGTATGAATAGGTAAATGAGGACACAGATTGTAATGTAAAGCACTTTGAGTATATCGATGAGCTAGAAAGGCGCTATATAAGTACAGTCCAGTTACCATTTACAGTCCATTACATGAGTGCAGCTACTGCATGTGCTCTCAGGACATTATTACATGCAGTGCACCCTCAATACACTGCATTCACTGCAGACTAAACTAGGCAAAAGGGCCTTCTCCTACTCGGCTCCTTTATTCTGGAACATCTTGCAAAAAAAACAAAACCTTGACCTCTCTAAGTGGCTTCAAACAACTGCTAAGTTCATGCCAAAAACCAACACAGACATATCCTGATGCATGCTCAATAATCCAGGTAGAAAAATCCAAAAAAGTTCAATCTGGTCCTCTGGACATTCAAAAAACAAAAAACAAAAACAAAACAAAGCAAAAAATATAGAAATGTTTCGTCTCTCATCCAAGAGACTTCCTCAGTCTGAGGTGCTGTTTTCAGCTCAGTCTCTTAAATAGCACATTCTCAGACCAGTATTTGCAGTTTGACTCCCATCACCCTTTGGAGCACAAGTTAGGAGTCATCAGGACTCTGTATCACAGAGCAGACAGCGTCCCCACTAGCTCAGGAGCCAGGCAGAAGGAGAAATCCCACACAAGACAGGCTCTAGAGCAATGTGGATATCCTAACTGGGCCTTCCTGAAAGAAGAGAAGAAACCCAAACAGCACTCCAGTCAGCCAACAGGTGAAAAGGAGGAACCCAGGCCAGTGGTCATTCCGTATGTTGAGGGAGTATCAGAGAAACTGAGACGTTTATTTTCTAAACATAACATCCCAGTGGCTTTTAAACCCCAAAATACATTACGGCAAAGACTGGTTCATCCCAAAGATCCAGTCCCCTGGCACAAACAGAGCAATGTTGTGTATGCTGTTCAGTGTCAGGAGGGCTGTGATCAGTCTTACATCGGAGAAACAAAACAGTCACTGGCCAAAAGGATGGCCCAGCACAGAAGATCAACATCATCAGGCCAGGACTATGCGGTCTACACTCATCTCCCGGCCAGCGGTCACTCTTTCAGGGATGAAGATGTGCACATCCTGGACAGAGAGGAACGATGGTTTGAGAGAGGAGTAAAGGAGGCCATCTTTGTGAAAAGAAACCGTCCATCGTTAAACAGGGGTGGAGGCCTCCGGGTTCAACTGTCCCCCTCTTACAATGCTGTGATTGCTAGTATCACTCAGCCCTCTGTGAACAGTAAATAGCCATCAGTGTGCTAATGATCCATTGTTAGGCTGATGGTCCTTCTTGAGCATGTGATCAGCTGGTTTTGGTTGTCAGCAGCAAAACTGGTTGATCCACTCTGAGACGGTGCTATTTAAGAGACTGAGCTGAATACAGCTCCTCAGACTGAGGAAGTCTCTTGGATGAGAGACGAAACTTTTCTACATTTTTTTGTTGATTTATTTTGTTTTGTTTTTTTGAATGTCCAGAGGACCAGATTTAACTTTTTTAGAATGTCCAGTTTTGTTTTTAGATTTGTTTGGACTCACTTCATGGAGACCGCACCTCCATTTTAAATATCTTAAAGCTCAGTGCTAAACACAAGATTTGATGCAGACCAGGCCTAGAAGGGTCAGGGCTGTTTTGGTGACAAAAGGAGAAAGTGGTTATAATGCTTTGGCCAACCGGTGTGTTTCCATATTTGAAAAAGTACAAGTTAAGTTAGCTAATTTCACCCTCATGTTAATGTTCAGGATAAAGTTTGTATCAGGTCTACAGGCTATATTTGTTCTGCAACAAAATTTAGATTGTCATCATAAAACCTGATGATAACTTGGGGTAACTAAGTAAGTAGTAATATCAAAACCCAACCTGGGTCCGTGACATCAGTCCAAACAGTAAACGAGCTCATTACTAGAATCTGAAACATTTTGAAAGCACATTGGTTCCAACAAGAACAAGAAAAAAATCCAGACTTAGACTTACCATGGTCTTAGGAATAACCTCTCTGGTATTCTGGCAGCATACCACCATTGCCTGATTCTCTGATTTTTTGGTATATAGCATGACTGGCTGTGTCTCATTTTTTGAAGTGTCCTGATAAATCTGGATTTTGAATGTGCAGTCTAAAATTAAAACATAAGACATGCCATAAGATAATGATGAACAACACGTGACAAACACAATCAGCAACAGAACTGAAGAAAGCCTTTAGTACACTAATCAGTCTGCTGTGAAGCTTCATCTAATATCTGGGAATAGGCCAGTAAAATCACTGTACATATTTATTCAGGCTAAAAAATCTGCCAACATGCACCATTTTATTTTTTGACATGCATATTGTATGCATTTTCATTTTCTTGGTTACTTCAATGTTTTTAAGTTGTTTTTCTATCTATTGTTTTTACAGTTTCCATTCACCTTTTTTAATTTGTCAATTCTAAATGCCAATCAACAAGTCAGTGCAGCTTCAAGAAAACCTTGTTTAGACACAAGTTGACTTTCTGTGGTTTGGTTAATTTATAATCTTTTAACGCTCATCATCCATACATCCATCATCTTTACCCACTTCTTCCTTTTCAGGTCGCGGTGGTCACTGGTGCCCATATCCAGCAGTCATTGTGTGAGAGGTGGGGGACACGCTGAACAGGTCTCCAGTCCATCACAGGGACACATGGTGACAAAAAAAACATTCACTCTCTCACTCACATTTAAGAACAATTTAGAGTTCCCAATCAGTCTAATGTTTTTGGTCTGTGGGAGGAAACTGGAGTACCCAGAGAAAACCCACATAGCACGGAGAGAACATACAAGCTCCACCCAGAAAGGCCTCCCGGCAGGGATTTCAACCTACAACCTGCACACTGAGAGGCAACAGCTCTACCAACTGCACCACCGTGCTGCCCTCAATGCTCATCATATAATAATTACATTTTTTTAAGCTAGCACTGATGTCATAGTAGAAATGTACCAATTTACTGACTAGTGACAAAGTCCAATGTTTTGTTGGTGTGTGTCAAAATGTTTTTGATATTGCTCCTCCACCACCACCTGACTGCTGAATGTCAGGCTGCTGAAAAATGATACTGGTACATTGGTACACGTTTTGAATAGAAGTATTTATGGTCACACAGAATCAATATCCAATACAGGTATTGATGCATCCCAAGCATTCGATTATTAAAATAGTCTATAGCTGACCTATGGTTGTTGTAGATTCTCAGTCATCCAGGAACTGACTGAAACTTTTAAAAAACTGCCCTTATATTGAGTGCAACCTATATTAGGGCCAAAAATGCTTATTTGAATAATAATAAAAAAGTTAACTGTGTGTTAACTTTTAATTCTGACCTGTTAGAATTTAAGATTTACAGTTCGTAAGAATACCTGACTGCTAACCTAGCAGTTAGCTTTAAGATTTGGTTTAAGATCAGTGGTTTTATTACTTTCATGTCATGCATGCCGCGTTGTCAAATTTTCTTTTGGCTTTTTCCTCTTCAAGGGTCGCCACAGCAAGTCATCCTCCTCCATCTCATACTGTCCTCTGTATCCTCTGTCCTCACTCCAACTATAACCATGTCTTCTCTTACTGCATCCATATAGCTCCTCTTAGGCCTTGCTCTTTGTCTTTTTCCGGGCAGCTGCATTTCCAACATCCTTCTACCAATATACCCACTGTCCCTCCTCTGGACATGTCCAAACCATCTCAGTCTGGTCTCTCTAACTTTATCTCCCAGTTGTTCAACATGTGCTGTACCTCTTATGATCTCATTCCTAATCTTATCCATCCTTGTCACTCCTAAGGAAAACCTCAATATCTTAATTTCTGCCACTTCCAGTTCTTTCTCCTGTTTTTTTTGTCCATGTCTCCAGACCATACAACACAGCTGGTCTCACCACTGTCTTGTAAACTTTTGGTTTGACCTTTGCCGACACCTTTTTGTCACAAATCACTCCTGAAACGTTTCTCCATCCACTCCATCCTGCCTGGACTCTCTTCTTCACCTCTTTACCACATTCCCCATTTTCCTGGACAGTGGACCCCAAGTACTGAGGCGGCTGTGGCTGAGTGGTTAGAGCAGTCGTCCTCCAATGCAAGAGTTGGGGGTTTGAATCCACCAGCAGTCACATGCCTAAGTGTCTCTGGGCAAGACACTGAACCCCTCGATGCCTCTGATGTGTGTCCCATCGGTGTATGAATGTGATGAAGCACTAATTAGTCTCTTTAGAATGATTTGTTGAATTAGCTTTGTAGAGATCTAGTAGAGTGCTGTATGAACAGGTAAATGAGGACACAGATTGTGTTGTAAAGTGCTTTGAGTATCTCGATAAGATAGAAAGGCGTTATATAAGTACAGTCCATTTACCATTTACTTGAAGTCCTGCACCTTTGTGACCTCTGCTCCTTGTAGCCTCACTGTTCCACCGGCCTCCCTCTCATTCACACACATGTACTCCATCTTACTATGGCTGACTTTCATTCCTCTTCTTTCAAGTGCATACCTCCACCTTTCCAAGTTCTCTTCCACCTGTTCCCTGTCCTTACCACAGATCACAATGTCATTTGCAAACATCATAACCCACGGGAATTCCTGCCTGATCTCATCTGTTGTTCAGTCCATCAACATAGCAAACAAGAAGGGGCTCAGAGCTGATCCTTGATGCAATCCCACCTCCATCTTGAAGCTATCTGTCACTCCTACAGCACATCTCACCACTATCCTGCTGTCCTCACATGTCCTGTACCAGTCTAACATACTTCTCTGCCACTTCTGATTTCCTCAGGTCTTCTTGTCAAATACAATGAAAAATCTAATGCAAATGTAAAAATTTAATGCACTACAGTGTTTCCCCTAGTTACCTAGTTAACTTGCCATAGCAGGGTGCTCATCTCATCCATGATTTTTGTTGACGTGGGGGGACTGAGACATGTCTGAGCACAGCTTGTACCAATAGTTTTTGAGCGAGGGTGGGGAGGGGTCATTCAGCATGAGGGAAGAGGCGCCTTTAGCTTTTTAGCTAGCGTGCCTATATTGCGTGCCGCTAGCTTAGCGCTATGTCATTGCAGGGGGGGTGTCGGTTTGGTTGGGTGCTCAGTTCTGTTGACGGGGTGGGGCACCCCGCTTGTATAATGGTAGGGGAAACGTTGCACTAAAAACAAAACCCTATGAATGAAAGAAAGGTTGGTCTAAATTTAAAACCTAGACAGTTGAAAAAAAAATGTTTTTGCTGCCACTTACCAGACTGTTGTCGTTCCTCTGAATTCCTGTCCTGGAAATCAAAGTCCTCTGAAGTCTTTAAAACTAGGTATTTTCTATCCATACTTTGTATCCAACACTGCTTTGAACCGTTGGAGGAAGACCTGAAAGCATCTGTTTGCAGATCTGTTTTTGTGAGGAAAGCGTTAATAACTAACTGCCCTTTATCACTACTTAGATTAGGTAAAGCTCAAAAAGATTAAACAAATTTAAGGTAGCTGTGCATTACAAAAAACTATTTAAACTGATTACCTGATTCAAGTACTATACAGTACACAGCCAGGGAAACACAAGAGAAAAGACGAGAGAAAATAAAGGTGCAACTTTAAATAAATTTTGTATTTTACAACATAGTAAAAAGGATGTTGTCACGTGTGAAAACCTACTTTCAAAGTAGAAGGAATTGCCACAAACATTAAAAAATTCAATGGGTATGTTGTCGCTGGCAGCCATCAGGTCAAATCCTGTAAGAATAAACGACAAGTCACTTTTAGAACAAATAAACCAATATATAAAATTTTAAAAATAAAAATAAAAAACAAAGACATCAACATTAAAACTCATGCTCAATAATCCTAGTAATAAATCCAACAAAATTAAGTCAGGTCCTCTGGATGGTTTCTTTGTGTTGAAATGTTTCATCTATCATCCAAGAGACTTCATCAGTATGAGGACCCACAACAAACTCAGTCTTATAAAGACATCAACAATTTTCCAACTCTGAAGCTGAGAAAAGCAATATAAGTTTTTAGTGATCTTTAAATTTTGATTAGGAAATACAGTATATACAATATGTAACAGGTGTAATGAACTATATCTGTCTCTGATATTATTCATAATTTAAACGGATTCTTTCATTTTTCTGGACTGAGTACTATCGTGCCTTGAATGATTAAATGTGGACGGAAACGTGTTTTATCTTTGACTCACCAACAACAGTGGGTCATTTATTTAAAAACGATTTAAACACATCACACATTTACAATAATTGGCAGATTGATTACAATAACAAATTTTAATTAATCAGCTTTGCAGTGAGAAAATCATACGGCAATGATTTTATCACTTGCAACTAAAATACAACAGACATTTCTGAAAATATCTGGATTAATTACTGGCAGATAGAAGAGTTTTAAAGATGGGAAATGAAGTTTAAATGGAGAGGAAAAGATGGATGAGGGAATATGTCTATTATAACCAGAAACAACACGCTCCTTTGGACCCAGCTTAACCCACGGTACACTTCGCAGTTGAAGATCGACTCTTTACCTGGCAGAAGATATCTCAGCGTCGGTGTAGAGTTCTCTTCACGCTTTTCAGCGTAAGGATAGCAGAGACCTCAGGAGCTGTGAGATCATCCCTGAACAGACTTCCTCATTGTTCAGAGCTTCCGTCGGGTAGAGCCACACCGAGACGTCGTGGCATCGACGGACTCTCGTCACTCCATTAGAAACTTCTCTGGAACTTGTTCTGCTCGGAACTTAGTTCTGCGTAGTTCCCGTTGTTCTGCTTGGAACTAGGAAGTGTCGACCCTTTTAAAGAGGTCACTTCCGGTTCCTTTGAGAACTTCCTGATTGGTTGAAAGAACCAACAGGGTTGTGGTCTTAGTGACGTAAGAGGGTCATTAAAAGTCAGAAAAACAATGCGATGTTTAGGAACAGATAGAAAGATGTTTTAAGAACAGACAGAAAGATGTTTTGAAGAACAGAGACATTTAGGCACCATTCTTCTTCTATCTATCTGAAAAAGTTAAACATGACATTTCGTTCCGATAAACATGTTTTTGACCGAAACTTGACTTCTGACCCACATCACGACTTGCTCATTTCAGACAGAAGATCAAAAAATGCATAATTACTCTTGTAACAAACATTAACTTGATTTCTACTTTGAATGAGGATTAAAAATCATTTATACTGTTTCACAGTTGATTTAAAATGAGTAGTTCACTTCAACATTTAAAATGGTTTGAACTAAACACACTTTTGATTATCAAGACATTTGTAAAATAGTAATGATAATATGAAAAGAGAGTGTTCTTTCAATTGATCAGTGCAGGATACAATTAGAAAGTCTCTGGATGAGCTTAATTTGTATTTCTGGACTCAAATCAATGAAATAACAGTTCTTGTTCCAGGAAGGCCCTCAGGGTCAGGACTTGACCTGAGGCTTAGTTCACTACAGTCCCCCCTTTGGAAATCGCCTGTCCATGGGGATGAATTCCAACATGAACTTACGCCTTCGAATGTCCTTGAGCTTGATGTAATCCAGCAAGGAAAACAAAAGTCAAAGGAGGTAATCCCACAATGTTTTTGGTAATTCCATTGTGTTGTTGGTAATTCCATAATGTTGTTGTTAATTCCATTGTAGCAATGCTTTAACCCCTTGGAAACAAAATCTGTAATCCCTTGGAAAAAGTCATATAATCCACAACGGTAAATCCACAACGAATGGAGGTGTTGATTGATCAGAATACAGAGGGGTTCCCTTGATTGAACTGAAGATGCGGCCACTGGATGCAGAGTGGAGACCAACGTTAGGATTGCAGGTCTCCTCCAGCGAAGGTCGTCGCTGGGTGACGTCCAGTCGGTGCCGTTCTGGTTCAATGTGTCATGCAATTATGTGGTTTAAGGTAGGCTTATGAAGGGGATTTTAGATAGGGCCTCAACCTATATGCACCTGGTGTGTAAGCTATTATGATTGGGAACAGCTACAGCTACCAGTTAAAGGGTGGAACATGCTGAAAAGGGTAGTTATAGGGGTCTATACCTATAGAAGGGTGTTCAAACTATTTTTCCATTCCTAACTTGGTTTAAGTTAGCTTTACATGGCAAAATATAGTTTGGTTCAATTGTCTGTTGTCCTTTTAGACGAACGACTTGAGATTGGGTGTTTGGTTTCCCCATAAATGTTTTTTGGAGTCTATGGCGAGACTCATCAAAAAGAATTAGCTATCCCCCCGAATAGAATTGTTCGAGTAGGTTCGGCTT